TATCGCATAGATCCCGCTTTGGTCTAGAATAGTAGGGGAGGGTCTACCAATGGCCGTGGTACCAAAAGGCTAGCCAGAGTTGAACGGCGAGCGCAGGGGTCCGCAGAGCGCCCCGGGAGCCGGGCGCCGCGCCGATCAGCCAACGCCTTCTAGCACAGCAGACGGCGTTCCGCTACGTCACGCCACGCAGAGATCTTCCTGTCCCCTCTCTGTAGTCTCTTGATCTATAGCATCGAAATCATTCCATTGCTCTAAAAAAATTACAGTGATGAAGTAAACGTTGTAGGGCATATTCTCGACGCCCACGGTCAGGCGAGACTTCCACACGTCTCGCAGTGTGCGGATAGAGCTGGACGAGCTCTGCAGCAGCACCACGATGGAGGCCGAGTAGCACGTATAGAGCAGCAGCACGGCGAGGAACAGCAGGAAGGTGACGATGCGCGACGCCACACCACGGGCCTCGACCGGCGAACCTGCGAGGAAAGGGGAGAGGTAGGACAGGACGGTCCGCAAGCTAGGCGCAACCAGCTTTCAAGTGGGGTCCTCCCTCACCCTGCTGGGCGATAGCGCCGAAGGCCAGCAGGAAGACGTCCGACAGCGAGGCGCGCAGCGGCTGCTTGTAGCCGCCCCTGCCCGCGCCCTGCGGCCGCCGCGCTACTCTCAGGCTGGCGTGAGAGTCACCCGTCCCGCCGCCGGCGCCGTCGCCGCTTTCCGAGTTCGGCTCGAGGTACAGTGCCAGGACGGCGAGGACGCAGCACAGCGCCACGAGGCTCAGCGCCGCGGCCCACAGCGAGTCAGGGAACGGCAACCAGAACACGTTGTCCGTGTAGGCCAGCGGCGGTTGGCGGAACACCGTCACGGCGCTGAATCACACCGGTCGCGAGAGAAGACCAATATTGAATGGGAAAGGCAAAAAATATCACCAGTCAAACAACGGTGTGAAATCACACCTTGAAAGGCATTAATGTTCTGAAGGTGTTCACGTTTTAGTTTTTACGAAATATTTTCTACTGAAGCAAACCAAGGTTTGTAGGACTAATATTTTCGCATTCAGCTCAAAATACCGCTTTGAACGAGCCTACATGTGATGTGTGTCTAAAGAATGGTGGAAGAAGTAACCGACCCTCAGGAATCTACTAAATGTCTTTCATTTGGGATTGGAACACTATCAGATATGGGCTTGATCGAAGCTGAATTTTGACCTGAATATGAAAATATAAGTTCTACAAACCTGGGTTTGCTTAATCAGGAAATATTTGGGAAAAACTAAAACGTTAACGCCTTTTGACTTTAACGAAGCTGGAAATGTGTTAATACACAGCTTTGGTTTACCAGTTTATTTGCAAAGTCATCTGAAAATTCCGTCCGTCTGTCCATTTGCCGTTCAGTGAGAAGTCGTGTTACTGAGGACGCTCTTTATTTCGTTTGTCACCGCATCTAAGGTCTAATGCGATCTTAGGCTGCGCACCGCATCGGGATGTTGATGCCCAGGTAGGTGATGGCCATCATCCGGAAGGCGACAGGCAGCATGACGGTGCCGCCAGTCTCCACCAGCCCGTTGAACAGGTCCCCCAGCAACCCGTCGTACTTTCCGTTACGGATGTAGCCGTGAGAGTTGGTGACGTGTAGCGAAATACTGAGGCAAACGAGAGAGACACGAGCCGGGAAAATCGTTGTCCACGTCACCGTCTCCTCGAGGGAGTGGGAATAAGGACATGAGCTAAACCCGGGTCTGAGCCTGGACACCTGTAGCCAAACCAATGCCCGACATGTGCACATCAAGAAGTGGCCTGGGTTCCAACTCGTCAGGCTGGGCAAATGTCGGGCTCATATCGGGTGCCAGTTCGGGCTCAAGTTATCCGGGCTGTTGTCCAGGTCAGCTCATGGCGTTAAACCCGAGGGACTCGCCTGTGAGAGGCAGTCCCGTTGCACTGCAGTGTGAAGCCTCCAGTGTACCTCACAGGCGCAGGCGCAAGGGTTACCCCCGAGGAAACATCCTTGCAAATTATACGTAGAAGTAAGTGCAGCAGCCCGTAGTTGCTGAGCTTTAGTCGTTAGTGTGCTAAAATTCTCAAATGTAACGGTTAAAGGAATATACAGTAGTAATAGTAATGTACATTGATGGAAGGCCAGGGAAGAACAGGAAAGGGGGGGAGGGGCACTGAAAAACTGAAAAATGACCAAAACAAGTTTGGTTTTAGACTTCCCGATGACATTTTTAGTTCTCAGTAATTGGAAGTGGGAGTGTGATGACTTTTGACTTCTACAAATGAATTGTGTTAGCAGATTCAACTTACAATGGAACAAACAGTAGGACAAACAAATATCGTATAACTCTGGGTAT